CTCCCGCGACCATGAAGTCGACACCGTGCGGCATGTGAAGCCTTGAGCTCCTCTGCTTGGCTTTTCCACTCCGTCAGGCATTTGCGGTGTATGCCAGACTCCCGCGCGACCTCGCTTACAGATGCCGCCAGCTCCAGCCGCACGAGCCACCTGAGTTTCTCCTGGGAGGTGTAGGCCTGCCGTTTATGTTGAGACGGCTTGTGCCTGGGAGAGGGGGGGCGGGAATCTCGGTTCTGGGAGGAGGGGTGGGGTCGTTTTTTGTTAATCGGCGGATACATCGGTATCGGCATCTTCTCGCGTGGTGCGTCGCGCCACCATGACTCCACACCGTCGTCGTCCTCGGCACTTGCACCACGATATGGGAACACGTCCTCCTCAGCGCCCGCTTCACCGTCGCCGACACCGTCGCCGTCGCCGCTGTATTGTTTATTGGCGGCCACGTCATCGTCGGCACCCACAGCCGACTCGTCCCACGTGCTGGCTTCGGGCTGTCCCCACCGTGGTGCAGACGGCGGAGCCTGGATGAACACATCAGGGGCCTTGGGTGTGTCCGGTTCAGACAGCCACTCGTCGAAAGTGGCTGGTAAATACAGCTGGAGCACGGGCCGTTGGTGAGCACTGGCACCGATATCAGGCGGATTCGGAGGAGCGGGAGGTGCGGGAGGAGCAGGAGGAGCAGGAGGTGCTGGAGGAGCAGGAGGAGCAGGGGGCGCTGTGTGAGAGAAGTAGGTAGAGTTAGGTGGGCTTGGGAGCCATAGCTTGGGAGCCTTGGTAGTTAAGTTCGAGGGTGAGGAGAGTGTCGAGAAAGTTGTGAAGGGGAAATGAGGGTTTCACTATAGGTTCAAGGGTACAAATATGAAAGAAGTGAAGCAAAGTGCACCACCTAACAAGCAAGGTAACTACACTAAGTCTACATTGCAGGCAGTTATAAAGTGATGTATACAATAACATTCTGACACACCCCCTAACTGCCTGCAGTGAAGAACCATGTGCAGAAACACCCCCGGAAGGGGTACACCAAGTAGAGCGCAGCAGACAGAGAGGGCAAATGAGGAGGAGAGACTGTGGAGGAAGAGAAGATGCGAGGCAACGACTGAAGCTGCAGAGGCACGGGCACAGGAGCGGCTGACTCAGTGGCTACCGAAGCAAGGGCGACGGACTACTGGAGTGACTTGCTCCGCGGCTATAGACGAGCGGCAGGAGCAACGGACCCACTGGCGTCTGGTGCAACAGGCTCACTGGCTACCGAAGCAAGGGCGACGGACTACAGGCGCTGCAGGCGACACGACAGCTACCTTCACACAACCTCCCCCAGCTGCCCCACCCCCCTCTCACACACTCCCTGTTCAAACCCTAGCTCCACTCCCACAGCACCCCCCTTAAACCCTAAACCCTAGGCTCCCACACACCCACCCCCCTCAGCGACAGCTGCAGCACTGGGAGACGAGGGAGGAGGAGGGGCAAGGGGAGGAACACATAACCGCCACCCCCACACCCGCCACCCCCATGCTCGGCACCCCACACCCCCAGCACCACGGAATGCACGAGGGGGGGGGGGGGGGGGGGGGGGGGGAACGGGACGGGCTGCAGGTGCGGGCTGCTCCAGGGGCGGCCGCTGCAGGTGCGGGCTGCTCCAGGGGCGGCTGCTGCAGTTGCTGGCTGCTCCAGGGGCGGCTGCTGCAGGTGCGGGCTGCTCCAGGGGCGGCTGCTGCGGTTGAGGGCTGCTCCAGGGGCGGCTGCTGCAGGTGCAGGCTGCTCCAGGGGCGGCTGCTGCAGTTGCGGGCTGCTCCAGGGGCGGCTGCTGTAGGTGCGGGCTGCTCCAGGGGCGGCTGCTGCGGTTGAGGGCTGCTCCAGGGGCGGCTGCTGCAGGTGCAGGCTGCTCCAGGGGCGGCTGCTGCAGTTGCGGGCTGCTCCAGGGGCGGCTGCTGCAGGGGCGGCCACTTCAGGGGCGGCTGCTGCAGGGGTAGCGGCTGCTGGGGCGGCTGCTGCAGTGGCGGCTGCTCCAGGGGCTGCTGCTGCAGTGGTGGCTCCAGGGGCGGCTGCTGCAGTGACGGCTGCTCCAGGGGCGGCTGCTGCAGCGGCGGTTGCTCCAGGGGCGGCTGCTGCTGGGGCGGCTGCTCCAGGGGCTGCTGCTGCAGTGGCGGCTCCAGGGGCGGCTGCTGCAGTGACGGCTGCTCCAGGGGCGGCGGCTCCAGGGGCGGCTGCTGCAGCGGCGGCTGCTCCAGGGGCGGCTGCTGCTGGGGCGGCTGCTGCTGGGGTGGCTGCTCCTGGGGCGGCTGCTGTTGCAAGGCAGGCCCGCGCGCTGCTGCAAAGCAGGCACGGGCGCAAGGGAGGCAGAGGCGGCGGCCAGGGGGGGGTGCGCCGCAACGAGCAGGTGACAGGGCCACAAGGGGCGGCAACGGAGCCGCTAGGGGCGGCAACGGGGCCGCGAAGAGCGGCGACGGGGCCGCTAGGGGCGGCAACGGGGCCGCTAAAGGCGGCGACGGTGCCGAGATGGGGCGGCGACAGGGCCGCGAAGTGTGGCGACGGGGCCACCGAGGGTAGCGCGAGGGGCCGTGAGAGGAGCAGCGACGGGGCCGCGAAGAGGCCGTGAGGGGCCGAGAAGGGCGGCGTCCGCGCGTCCGGGGCGCACGGCGTGCGGAAAACCGCCACGCGCCCCGAGCGCGTGGCGGGAAGAAAAAAGTGTCGCGCGCCACGGGGCGCGCGACAGAAAAGAAAGCAGCGGAAGCACGTGGGGCCCACAGGCCAAGAGCGTAGTCGCTCTGATACCATGTGAGAGAAGTAGGTAGAGTTAGGTGGGCTTGGGAGCCATAGCTTGGGAGCCTTGGTAGTTAAGTTCGAGGGTGAGGAGAGTGTCGAGAAAGTTGTGAAGGGGAAATGAGGGTTGCACTATAGGTTCAAGGGTACAAATATGAAAGAAGTGAAGCAAGGTGCACCACCTAACAAGCAAGGTAACTACACTAAGTCTACATTGCAGGCAGTTATAAAGTGATGTATACAATAACATTCTGACACGCTGGGGGTTCAGGTGGCACTGGAGGCGCTGCGGGCTCACGGGTATACCACCCGTCGTCGGTAAGTCGCCATGGGCGAGCTCTCTTGTTCTTGAAGAGGAAGTGCGTCCCGCTGAATTCCGCCATGGCTTCGCCAGCCAGGCGGCCTACACTGGAATCTTGAATGAAAAAAATGAAAGAAATGATGAACAAATGGGCAACGAAGGGGACCCCGTAAGGTTGGCGCCTCGGGGTCCTCGTCAATGACAGGCGGGAAACCCCCACCTACCCCCGTAGAGGACCCTGCGTGGCAGCATAATCGCTGCGCTGGCAGGGAATATTCGCCACCCTTCGAGAGGGTTCGGGGGAAATGCAGATGCCACGCAATGCATGCGACTGTGATTGGGCCGCACGGCAACATCCCCGTCACTGCTGTCACGATCGATGGTTCTAGACAAAACTGTGCGGTGGGAAACCGAACCGCTGCTGTTTTTGTCTGAAAACCATGCACGATCCCACGTGTTGCATGGTCGGTTGAATTCGCCTTATTGCGGGCTTCAATTTGGTATGTTTAAAAGTGAATATTTTTTTTTCCTATTACAAGCGCATGCGCTTATAAAAATGACTCGATTAGAAGCGCACCCCCCTAAAAAACACTGCTTTATTATAAGCGCACCTGCGCTTCTATCCGGGGTAATACGGTACCCCACTACAGACTATAGCATATATAAGTTTGACAGACAGCTGCTGTGGTCAGCACATGGTGGCATCTCGAACATCAGCCGCGCTCCTGCTACCTATGTCACCGTCGCCAACAACGAGCAATTGCGCGCAAACGCGCAAGGCATTGTGGTGTTGCAAGCTCGTGACAGTAACACGCACATCACATTCAATGACGTGCTCTACGTGCCGGATCTTCGCTTTAACTTACTATCCGCAGGACAACTCAGAGACTGCAGAGTCATGCTCGCTACGGATCCCTACACGCGCGACCTCATGCTCACCTACGCTCCTCCAGACACACCCGTCGAGTCGCACAAATATCTCGGAAGAGCTCGCTCGCTCAACGGCGTCTACGTGCTCGACTTCGACATACCCAAATACTAGAAATAAACTTTTGAGTGTTCATGCCCGTTACGAGAAAGAAAATACAAAGATGCGGGTGTAGTATCTGATTAGATGCTCGCAAATGTACAAAATGCAACAGTAAAGTGACTGGTCAGTTGTTTCGCAAGTGACGTGCGGTATGCAGTTTGAAAACCTTCACTTTTTTTTGCCGCACAAAAAATATCTTTAAGGTTGCGAAAGAGTGTATTGTAAGTTCCTTTTCGAACTTCCCTTTTTCGCGATGGATGGGATGTCCCATTCGTCTCCGTCTCGCGCTCTTGTGTTTGCCAATACGGATCAAATCCCGGAATATTATCTGTGCCCGTGCAACACGACTACCTACGACGAGACGCAAGGTGCGGCCACCCATGTATGATAACCGCAAGGTGGGATACCACCAACGCGGGATATTCCCGAGGTGTGTTTCCCCCGAGGTGTGATGATTCGGGCTGTTGTGGACCGATGCACGTCGAAAATTCAGCGAAGATTTAAATATGAGCCTGACATCGCCAGTGCTGCTGTAACCAACCATGTCCAAACACACAGCATTACAATGCAGAACCCTCCTGATTTGGCTCTTGAATCGTTTTTCTATCTCTCTCTCTAACTCTCTCTCTCTCTCTCTCTCTCTCTCTCTCTCTCTCTCTCTCTCTCTCTCTCTCTCTCTCTCTCTCTCTCTCTTCCCCTCCCATTGACATGCCCTTGTTCCCTGCCTAGTCCTCCTGTGAAGCTGTAATAGGGGCAACGCCTTCTCTCCTGGAAGGCTAGTCTCATCTCATATACCAACTTGAAGTCCATGCTTGCCCGGGGGAACGCCAGCGCGCCGCAACTCAACAACTCTCTAAATTCCCCTTCCCATCCCCCTCTTTCCTCCCCCGTTTCTTGCGGTGGATTGCGCAGACAAGGTGATAAAAGAGTTCGTGACGTGCAGCCTGACAGACGCCTTCAGCCCGTCCTACTGCTCCGTGCCAGGCATCTACTGCGACTACCGCGGCATGGTCAACTCGCTGTGAGTGACTTCATCGCATAGATCATCGATCACCCCATTGCATGGGGTGGGATTCCTCTATCACATTCAGCACCAATGTATCTTGTTAGCGTGCGCCGGCACCGCACAGGCCCATCGCATGCTACATGCTTTTCGTTTCTGAAAAAAAAAACTCTGAAAGGTACCCACCCAACCCAACGATCGCCTCATTGGGCCTGCTGCCGTTCCATTGATCTAGATGGCTTGGCATAGCATGACTGGATGACATGGCAATATCGCTTGCATGCCGCTTGTTGTCATGCGAGTCCTGATAATTCGCTTGCCATAATGCGAATCCTTTCCTCAGAGACCTCGGCGGTCGCTCTCTTGCCGGCTGCAGCATCCCCTACAGCATCAGCAAGCTCTCTGCGCTCACCAAACTGTGCGTCCCTCTCACCACCACCACCCCTTGTCCCTCTCACCACCACCCCTTGTCCCTCTCACCACCACCCCTTGTCCCTCTCACCACCACCCCTTGTCCCAATCACCACCACCACTCCTTCTCAATGCACACATGTCAACGGGTGTCCTCGCGGGTGCTTCCATCTCACTTCCATCGCAGTTCCTTCTCCGTGGGGCGATATGATAGAATGAGCCATGCCTGCCGCTGTTGCAGGTCCCTAGCGAACAACAAGCTCATGGGGACTATACCGGACTCTATCTCCACCCTGACCAAGTTATGGAAGCTGTGAGTACGCTCGTCTTCTGAGGCGCCTCAAAGGTCCATCTTGACCTCGTCACAAAGGGCTGTGATTCGGCTCGCCTTTTCTTGACTTCCCTCATAGGCTTTTCGACCTTTATCGCCTTCTTTCCACCCTGTCTCGTCTCCCTCCGTGACGTTTTCTCTCTCTCTCTCTCTCTCTCTCTCTCTCTCTCTCTCTCTCTCTCTCTCTCTCTCTCTCTCTCTCTCTCTCTTTCTCTCTCTCCCTCTCTCTCCCAACATCATGTGCATAGTGAACTATGGAAAAATCAGCTCAGTGGCAGCATTCCTTCGGGCATTATGCAGCTCCCAAGACTTGCTTACCTGTAAGCATACTCTGGAGAACGAGCAACAGGAGAGAAGCACAGGAGACAACGCATCTTTGCCTTGCATTCCCTACACAAGCATTGTCAATTTTCTCACTCTTGATGACTTTGTTGAAAGATGGCCAGGAACAAAAGAGGCCGAGCCTCGCATATGCCCTCTCGTGTTTCCCATATCCACATGTCGTACCTGCAGTGGTCTCTCACAGAATCAGCTCAGTGGCAGCATTCCTGGCATGACGACCGAATCCGCCCACAACTACCTTAATCTGTACGTATGGTTGGAACTCGTACGCAGCGTTAGATTCACCCATCGTGAAAGCGTCTAACTATCTCCCCTGGGTTTTCCGTGCCCCATGTCCCCTGTTACTTTTCATTCTCTCCCAGCCAACTCCAAGGCAACCAGTTGTCGGGCACCCTTCCTCCCTCCTTGGGGAAAATTTACACACTGTGAGAGCCGCACGGAAACGTGTTCAGATTGGGCATGCAATAGGGGCGAGAGGGAGGGAGGAAGGGCGAATGGAGAGGGGGAGGAATTTGGGGGAGGGAGAGTGGGGAGCGAGAGCGATGGCATCAGGAAGAATATTGTTACAGCTTTACCGAGCCATTTGGAGTTCCCTTCTGGGCATGACTTAGTCATGCGGTCTATCATCTCCTGGCCTTGAGAGCAATTTACCAGCTGTCTCTCAATGGTTATGTCCTCTTTTCCCCCTCTCATGGGCCTTACACTCCTCCACCATCCCCTGACAGGAGCATCGACTGAGATAACTTTATGTGTCCTGTCAACGAGGGAGATTGTGTGGTGTACCAATATGTCAGGTCTCCATTCTGCTGCCTGTGCACGGGCTTCTGTGCCACTTGCAACCCTTCCAACAGTACGTTGGCATGCTGCTACTACTCAGAAGGAGTGCTTACATTTTGAAACACCTCCCAAGGCACCTAAGGAGTTATCCTCCACCCTGCTGGTTGTCCAGGGATCCAGACGTTGCAGCCACGATATCATGCCTGACTAATTGCATGCTCGTTTCCCTGCAAGCTCGTAGGTCTGCATGCTGGCTTGGCACCAATCTCTCCACTCACATCTCGATTCTCACTGGTTTTGAGATTCTGCCTCTTTCTTCCGCTTGGATCCTTTGCCTATGTGATCTGTTATTTCCAGTGGCAACCACGAGTTACAAAAGACAAGACCTGAGCTCAGAAGACATCGCAGGAATTGTGGTTGCGTCTGTGATCCTCTTGCCACTGCTGCTGGTGATTGTGTACCTGACTTACATCCGCGTGAGGGAGCAGAGGGAGAAAGTGAGGTGGGAGAAGGAGAGCAAAGAAGAGGGGGAGGCCGAGAGGATGGAAGGCGGAGGCAGTGAGGGGGAGAGGGAAGAGGGGGGAGAGGCGAAGGCTGTTGAGGTGGAGAGTGGCAGTGGATGGTGGATGTTCAGAAAGAGCAGTGATGGTGGCGCAGAGGCAGCAGCAGTGGATCTTGCACTGACACTACCAACAGCATCAACAGCCTGCATAGCAGCAGCGCCAGCAGCAGCAGAAGGAAAAGAAGCAGCAGCAGCGGGAGTGGCTGTGGCAGGAGGAGCAGGAGGAGGGTGGAGGTGGCCGTGGCAGGCAGCTGCTGCTCCTTCCGCCGCATAGGCAGCAGCAGAACACACAGCAACAGTTGCCGCTGTAGGAGGCGCAGCAGCGGCGGTGGCAGTGGGTGCAACGGGGGGGGATGTGGGAGCAGGGGTGGAGGCGCGGCCGTTGGTGTGCCGGCAGTATTCGCTGGCGGAGATGGCGGCAGCGACGGGCGAGTGGGCGGAGGCGTAGCGCATTGGCAGCGGCAGCTTCGGGGATGTGTACAAGGGCGCCAACCCCATGGGTGCAGGCTGTAACATTGAGCTGCTTCCATGCTCGCTTCCTCCCTCCCCTCCAGCCTGTCCTCTTTCACCCCTATCCCCTCTTCCACCCCCCCCTAGGACGGAGAGCAGGTGAACGAGATGGCAACGAAGAGCCATCCGCATCTGGTGCGGCTGCTGGGGTACTGTTTCGACATCAGCCCAGACACGGAGCGCGTGGAGCAGATCGTCATATATGAGTTCATCGATAACAGCGTCCTCGACCGCTGGATCGGCCCGAGTGAGCCCTTTAACACTCGCACTTACATGCCCTGGTACGCTGGATTGGACCCCGTGAGCCCTTCTCTCTTCACTGGTGCCATCAGGCTTCCCTGCCTCATGCGCTCACTGGATCGGACCCATGAGCCTTCCACTGCTGCCGCCATCGCTTGTTATCAGCTCTTATTCGTCACGTTTTGCACATTGACACTTCCTTTGTGCCATGCATGCAGGAAACTTTCATGCACATCCCATCCACACCTATGTGTTTGCAGGGAGCCCCCACTCCCTGGTGGTGCGGGTACGGCTTGACATTCTCATCGGCATGGCCCGCGGCCTCGAGTACCTCCACAGCTTTGGCATCGTGCACCACGACATCAAGTCCGCCAACATCCTGCTCGACTCCAACATGCAGGTCAGTGGACACCAAATTTTACTATTATTTAGTCGTCACTCTTTCTATGTTTGCAGCTGCCAGTCGTCCATAAAGTGATGTTCCTTCTAAGCGGAATTCATTCGTCTTGGGTCCCCCCTGCTGCAGCCCAAGATTGCGGACTTTGGGCTCGTGAGGCATGGCGAGGGCACGTCAGTGATTGCGACGCGAGTGATGGGCACACCGGGCTATGTGGACCCGGATTACTACAAGCCACAGAAGGCCACGCCAAAGGCTGACGTGCACAGTTATTTGCAGGCATCTTTTGCTCTATTAGAATGACTGTTAGTTTGCCATGCTGTTGTGCCTAAAGCGTGTGCACTTTCTCTCGCTCACAGCTTTGGAGTGGTGATGCTGACGCTCATCACAGCTCGCAAGGCCATCTACAACGCGGATGCAGATCAGATCAACCTCAAGCAGTGGGTGGCTGCTGGCAGCGGGCGACGCAGGCGCGATGAGGGACCCGCAGCTGGAGGCGCCGGACGACTTGGTGCTGCGCATGGCCCGCCTCGCCCTGCGCTGCACCGCCATGCCCACGGCCTCGCGCCCCTCCATCAGCCGCGTGCTCGGCGAGCTGCTGGTCATGAAGGAGGAGTTTCTCGGGCAGGAGGAGGACCGCATGGCGGCGCGCATTGACCGCGAGCTCGAGAGCTCCGAGAATGTCATCCTCAGCATGGAGCTTGCGCATGCCCAGGGGGCGAGGAGCAGCGGAGGAATCTCGAGCAACGCATGATCCCAAATGCTGGTCTCTGGCGAGAATTGTTCAGATTGGCATCCGAGATACCTTTATGGGACCTTCAAGCCATACATCTGTGGACTCCCTACATGGTGCCAGGCATAACATCCCCAATTTATATTGTGAACAAGAAACCAATGTGTCATTCAAAGACTTGGGCACGATGGAGTCATTTAGACGAGTTTGGTATAGCGTGTTTTTACTAAAGATGGGACACCTATGATCTGTGGATGTAAATGCATCTGTCTGTAGTATCATTTGGTGTTTTTGTTTTTAACTTCCTGACATAGGTGGCACATGGATATGTTGTGAGTTGGTGAAACTTATTGTTCCAAACATTCCAGTTATAGGTGGATATACATGCCTGTTTCATTGTACCATTGAGATGGCGTTTTTAGGCGGGAACGTGGTTGCATATCTTGGTGGAACGCGAATTTAAAAAAAATTCCCGCCACTACCTTCATCGTGGTGCTGGCGTCGTGGAATCGGTGGTATTGCGGCGAATACTGTGAACTCTCGTGAATTCGCGAGCCGGAGCAGCCAAGTACTTTTGCGACGGGTAACAGCTCGAGTCTGGGGTAACACTTCATTCAGGCGTTGATAACAACAGTTCCCCTGCCCCACTGCCAGACCACCTCGATTAAAAAAGCGTAGCGGAACCCAACGTCTGGTGTTCACCGCCAAACCAAGTGTAATTTATACTGTACCATAGTAGTCAAGTCGAGGGTCTGCATTCCACGGGTCTGGTGGTTTCGTTTCTAAATTTCCAAGTCAAAGTTTTTGGTGGTGAGGTGAAGTGCCCGACGGGCCACCCCAACACCCTACCCCCACATCTTCCCCCACGCCCAGCCACGATCCGCTCTCGGCCTCTTCTTAGCCAATCAAAGCGTCACATCGCCAGTTCGCGCCAAATTCTGCACCTCTTCCTTGACAGTAATTTCCCCCCTTTCATTGTCCCCCTCTCCCCCACTCCAGAATAACAGAAGCCCCTCGCTCCCGCCACCACCAACCCATCCCCCGTGACCCTTCCCCTTCGTCACTCCCTTCTTGCTCCCTCCCTCCTCCCCCATCCCAATCCCAAGCGGTCATTCTTCCTCCCCCCCCTCCCCCCACCCTTACAACCTTGATTCGCCCCTGCCTGTCACGTGCAATTATCACTTTCGCCTGGTATCTACGGCCCTTGGCTGCCTACCAAACGCGAGATGTCGATCTGTTGATCCTTTCTATACCGTGGAGCACATCAAAGTTACTCTTCTAACAACCCTCCGCCCTTCACGCCATGGCTGCCGCGACCTCCAGGTCGCTGCTGCCACCAGCATTGCGCTGCGGCTTACCCTCAGCCCCAGCCACACTCGCGCCAGCCGAACCAGTTCACAGACTAGGATGCCTCAAGAGCCGCCCACTTTCGGTTCCCGCTCCCGCGCGCACATGCCTTTTCACGTCTCTCCGTCTTCCTCCTTCCCCCATTGCTGCGATTGGCAAGACCAAATCCGCCGACGACGCGGACTGCAGGCTTTCATATGGAAAAGCTAAAGAAACCGCCGTCGCAGGCCATTTTGTGAAGTCTGTTATCATTGCGACGGCGCCGCTTGGCGCGCTCCTGCTGACATCCGGCCCTGCGTCCGCGTTTTCCGGCAGCCACGCGTACGGTGGTCTTGGTCAAGGCGAGCTAGGCTGGTCTGAGTCGCTCCCGACCAATGCTGGAGGAGGTGGAGGAGGCGGCGGCGGACAAGGCGGCGGCGGCGGCGGCGGTGGCGGCGGGAGTGGTGGTCCAGGTGGATCACAACAGCCTGGAACCGACTATTCCAATGACCTGGATGATGATGATGATGATGATGTGGACGAGGCAGACAACCCGGACGGCATTTCCGAACCAGTGAGCCGAGTCGACAAGAGCGCTAGCGCCGTCCCCGTCTCGTCTGCTGATGCCGTTGCGATGGATGCTTCTGGCGGCAAAGCGCCAACGGAAGGCCGCGACCCGGCGTGGCGAGAGTTCCCGAAGCGCCGATCCAGCAGCCGCCGACGCCACGGCGCAAGCGGGAACGGCGGCGCCGGTGCTACGCTGCTGAACTCTTATCCCCCGGACGTGCTCTTCGCGTCGCTCTCCGCCGTCGCCGGCTCCGCCGGTCGCGCCGGCGCCGGCGGCGACGACAGCGCTACTGCGGCCAGCGCCGGAGGGGGAAGCAGCAGCTCCGCGGACGGCTTGAGCAGCGGAACGATCAGCAGCAGGCGGAGACGGCCGGACGACGAGCGCATGCGTCGCGCGGACGGCATGTTTGACTGGATGGCGGGGCTGCTGCACTCGATGCTCGCGTCGCGCCTCGACGGCATGCAAGACCGCGTCGACAGGCAAGCGCTGATGGCGGAAACAGCGGACCTGGTCGTACAGATCCTCGACAAGCGTTCCGCGGACGACGCCTTTGCGCACCGGTCGGAAGTAAGCGCGCTCCGCCGGCTGCAGCGCGAGGCGTTTCAGGACCTTCTGCGCGTGAAAGACCGCCTCCACCGCCTCGAGTTTCTCTCCGGAGTGCGCCAGTCCCCCGACGGCCGCTCCCCGCGCCCCTCCGCGGGTTCCGTGTATTCCGCCTCCGCCGCAGCCTTCGGCGCAACCGCGGGCGCGTTTGGCACGGGGATTGCGGGGATCGGCGAGGAGAGCGGCGTGTGGGGCGGGCTCGGTGCGGGCGGGGGGAGCGTGCTGGGGGGAGCGGGGCGGACGCGCCTGCACGGGGAGATCGCGGCGGGCGGAGCGTTCGTTCCGACGGAAGGTGCGCGCAGCCACAGCACGCGCGCGGCGCTAGAACAAGCGGGCATGCGATCGGGACTGACGGTGAAATTCAGATTTGATACGACCTGCCGCGACGACGACCTCCTGTCGACTGAGCTGACGGCCGGCCTAGGCGAAGACAGCAGCAGCTTTATGCTGGGCGGCCCCGTTAACATTCATAAGATCCTCTACAGTACTAAGTTATGCGACGGCGTGCAGCTCGCCGTGGCGCCTTTAGGAGCCGTCGGGTCGGACATGGCGGAAGGCATGAATCCTCTCAAGGACCAGGGCCTCACGCGCTTCTCGTCCGGCGGAATCTCCCTGCACCGCCGCGCGAGGGGTTCCGCGCTCGCGTTCTCGCTGCGCAACTCCGCCGCCTCGTTCACCGCCGCGCAGTTCCTCTCCGGCTGGGGGGTCTCGCAGGACCCCGAGGGGGAATCCGCGGGGCTATGCGCGTCGTCCCTGGCGCAGCTGTCCCTCCAGCCCCAGGACAACGTTGTCCTCTCCATGTCCGCGCTCAACCGCCTCTGGCCCTCCCCGCCGCTTCCCTCCGCCACGGGGCTGCATTGGAGCGAGATGGGCCCGCTCGTGGTGCCGAAGCTGCTGCCGTGGCTCGGCAAGCTGAAGAAGGCAGGCTCGGGGCAAAGCGCGGGTAGCGGGGACGGGAGCTCTGGGATGGGCGGAGCGGAGAGCAGCAGCGGGGTGGTGGGGCAGGAGCTGTGGCTTCCGCCTGATCAGGAGCCCGCGACCATGGTGCAGTCGGTGGCGGTGTCGGGCGCGGTTCAGCTCGGCGCGGCGACTATTGCGGCGTGGGCGCAGGCGGAGAACGGGGACTGCTTGGACGAGGACGCGCGGAGGAAGCTGCAGTGGTCTGTTACTCTGCTGTTGCAAGGAAAGGGGAGGGCGGAGGACGAGGCGGGGAACGGCGGCACTGGCGGAAGCAGTGCGAACGGGGCGGGCGGGAAAGCAGGTGGGGGAAAGGGTAAGAAGGGGAAATGGACGGACAGGATTTCGCTGGGAGCGTGCATCGGAGGCACGCAGCCAGATGCGTTTTTCCTGGAAGGAGGGGCGGAGTCCAGCAGCACGGGGATGGTAGGCGGGGAGAGCGGGGAGGGGAACGAGGGGGGCGCGGCGGGCGCGGGGCAGGTGCAGGCGGAGGCGTTTATGCGGGTGAAGTGCGGGCGGGGGCTGGTGCTGCAGCCGGGGGTGGTGGTGGCGCAGAATGAGAGGACTGGGCGGCACACTGCGTTCATGCTGAGGTCATCCTGGGCCCTCTGAGAGAGGTAGTGTTTCAGGGAAGGAGTGTTTCCAGGAAGTTTCCATGGGGGTTGGGAAGGGAAGTAAAAGGGGGAAAGGGGGCTGTTGAGGGGAGGAGGGAAGGGTTTTGTTATGGCAGTGTGTTCAAGATGGGTACAGGTTGGGACGTGCTTGTGGGCAGTGCGTAAAAGGGTGCATTCTTCAGGGACAGTGGAAATGAGCAGGCTTCATGTGTGTGTTTGCGTGCGCGTGCGAGTGTGCATTTATGTGTGTCTGTAAGTTTCATGTGTGTGCATGCACGTGTGCATGCATGCATGGAGGAGGGAGGGAGGAGCCTTGGCTGGTAATGGGAGGAAGGTTCGGGTGAGACTGGATGTCGTGTAGATTGCTGCTGCTACTGTAGTTTAAAGCTCGCGTCTCATATTTCTGTGTCCCAACCAAGTGTTAAACGCTTGGTATCCGGTAACCCTCAAACTGTCGCACAACTCCACTGAAGGTTGGCCCAGGTTGAAACGATTGGTTGGGAACCTACAAACTTGCTTGGCGGTATGCGCAGGGACGTGCCAAACCAATCATGCGATCGTGCACCCAGGTAGGTTTGGAAAACACACCTGCACGGGGACAACACGATCGCCCAAACTCCCCCACCGGCGACCAGGTTGTCGCACGAATCAAGCATTTACAACAGCTGAAAAATATGAGACTGACAGAACTCAGAAACCCGATTTCGCACTAGCACTAGGCTCAGGTTCAAGAGTAAAACTCTTTCCACTAGCAACCGCGGTTACCTCTTACATAAAAGTTAGATTCTCGTTGATCAGCATATACGGCCGACCTATAAACTTGAAATTAGGTCTTCATTTATCAGTATCAGCGGCGACCAGGGTACATCCCGTGCTTATCGTGAACCATGTCCAGGTAATGAGGCGCGCCAGGTAAGGGACGCGATGGGGCAGGACGGGACAGTACGGGAAGC